TATATAGTTATTTATAAACGTTTTCGCTAATAAAGCAAGGGATTTAAATTTTTTATTTCATGAAACAGCAATGAAGAAAACTTTTAACAAAATGATTGCACATTTTTCTCTTTAAGAGTAATTCAATCTTTAAAGTTTCTTGCAATAACGTCATTTTAGCTACAATTGGAAAATGGCTTTACAAAAAGCAAACATTTTACAACATATTGGCTAAAAGCTTTTTTCGTCTAACAATCCTCAGAGCATAAATGGTCAGAATAAGGGTCCTACTAGACCTACAAGATCGAGGAGGCTGTCCTCTTTGAGGGTCAACTTTGTTTCTTTTGTTGGAAGGAACATGCTATTTTATCCTATCCCCAAACCTTTGGGTTGTACGTAGCCAGAATCACACTTACATGTGAATTCAGAACTTTTTTGGTTGGTAGGAACGCAATCCTTTTGAATAGATGGGCTCTTCTAGTGCTGTAAACAATACGAGGACTGACAGCAAAGAAACATTTTGTTATGGCTTGCCTAATCTGACTCTCGAATCGCAAGGAAGTGTTACCAATCCATGGTAGTTTCGAATAAACTGGGCACTTTTGCAGACCAAACTTTTGAACAGCCGAAAAACTTGCGATCTTCTCCTTAGTATAACATAAAAAGACGTCTTCTGGATAGCCGTTGTCCAGAAAGATCGTTTTAAGTTTTTCCAGTTCAGCGTGCAGTTTTGATTTCGAGCAGATCATAAGTGCCCTATGTACTAACGTTTTGACAAAGTTGATGTTGCGTTGTTTTGGGCAAAATGAATTCCAGCGTATGTACTGACCGGTAAAAGTAGGCTTGCGATATACACTGGTAAGAAATCCAGTGTTCGACTTTTCGACCAAAACATCTAAAAATGGCAAGGAATCATTTTCTTCCTTTCCAAACGTAAGCTGGAAGGCTGGGTGTAGGCTATTAAGGTGTTTTAGAAAAAATATCACACCCAGCCTCTGTTTTGAAAATGGTATATGTGTCATCCACATACCGAAAATAAACACCTGGCTTTTGGTCGTAGACGAGCGAACGGTCTTCATGAAAGCCAACAAAGATATTGGCCAAGGCAGGTCCCAGTGTTTGTTAACGGAATTATCAGCAAATTTAATAAAATTAACAATGTTTGTCTAATTTTCAAAAAACGATTGAATATAGTTAGCGAATTTGAAAGCAATTCCTGGGAAATAGCGACAGCGAGAGCTATTGACTGTTATATAGTTGGTAGCTTGCTTTGCAGACCATATTCTGAAGCTGGATATATATTTTGCTGATGTTTACTGTCTTTGCTAATGGCCTTTCTTATATCCTTACATACCTTTTCACTTCGGAAATGGAAATATTTTAGAACTTATTTTAACTGGTCGTAGTGTGGTGACCCCGAAATGTTTTTTCAATGGTTGTTCAAATTCCATTTGACGAACGTCGTGCCCTATGGATAAGCGTTTTGATGCAAAGCAGGCGACACTGATTGGGCAGCCTCACAGTCATGTGCTCGTGTTTCTGATTGGCCTATTTCAATCCACAACTGGGTATATACATTTCCTACCGTAGAGTTTTGGATCTATGTTCTGACATTTTATACTCTAAAGAGTGTCCGATGAAAAGCTCTAGGATGTTTGCTTTTCTCAAAGCCATTTTTAAGTTTTGTACCACCAAAAGGTTGTTTGAATAATTTGTCCAGACAACGCTCGACAAGGCTCAACAACACTCGACAAAGTGGCCAAATGTTCTTGATATTCGATTCAACAAACTGTCAAGCGTTGTCGAGTACAGGTGCGAACGATCAGTCTCATGATTTGGCTACAGATAAATACTGCCACAGAATACATAATCAATACTCATCGCATCCAAGAAGAATAAGAAAGTGATAATCGAGATAAGGACGGGATGTTTTGCATTAATTCTACGGATGTATACGTATAAAAGTGTTAGGCAAAAAGAATGCTTATCTCCTTAGAGGGACATTCTCAAGATGAGCGCAGAACGAGGCATGGATCCTCAAGTTAGTCATACCAGTGCATTGCCAAAGAAAATGGCATAATGATTTTCAGAATGGATTTGATTCTACGCCACTGTTCACAAAATGACAGTTTTCGCAAGTGACATGAACCTGCTCAAGGGGATGATTGGTTAACAGAAAAAGATAAAAATAAAGCTACTTGTATCTAGACAACCCTTAGACAGGCTTATAAGCAGTAAGCAATCAACACTTATGTCAAATAAAATTGGTAACTGCATATCGTACCGTATACCGATATTCGAACGCAAAACATTGTAGCATGGACATTCTAGCATGGACATTGTAGTAACCTAATAGACTATGCGCAGGACCATTACTTTATGTGACCCATTTTTATATAGTTTCAGATTACAGTTGACAGTATTACAGTTATGTGTGTAGGCCCTTTGAAGTTAATATAAAGTTATCGTTCTGTTTCTGTTCAACCCATGCGTTGTTTTATCTCAGAATGTCTGTACAACTCAACCCATTACCACCGTCCGATCCGAATGCAGAACTTGGAGTGAGTGTTGCTGCCAGATGGAAACTTTGGCTACATAATTTTAATACTTTTCTAGTGGTTAGCGGAATTCGAGACGCTAAGCACCAGAAGGCCTTGTTACTTTATCAAGCTGGACCCAAAGTTCGAGAAATTTTTAACCAGTTGAGTGATGTCGACGGAGGAGGGGATGAAGACAACTTTGCGACAACAAAAGCCAAGCTCATTGAGTACTTCGAGCCGCAGAAAAATCGGCGGTACGAAGTTTATCGTTTTCGTGAAACTCGTCAGGGAGATCAAGAATCGCTCCATACCCTTCATACACGGCTCAGGCAGATGTCCAGTACATGCGAATTCGAAGATGAAGACTTTGAAATCGAGGCACAAATAATTTTAGGGGGTCGATCTTCTCGTATAAGACGCCGATCTTTGCGTGACCTTACGTATACCCCTAAAGACACCCGTATAAGACGCCGAGCTAATCGATGGAAGACGGGATGAAACCAGTTCGTATCAAGCCTGAGATATAGAAACAACCCACGTACACACAGAAACAACGAACCGTTTGCAATCGAAGTCTGATAACAAGACTTACAACAATTGTGGAGGAGAATGGCCACACAAAAATCAATGCCCCGCACAAGGGAAAACATGTCACAAGTGCAAAAAACCGAACCACTTTCAATCAGTTTGTAGGAGCTCAAAATTCTCGAAGCAGATACAAAGACGTCCTGCACATTCTCGCAAATCACATGCAGCGGTGAGACCTTTGCAGCATGAGGATAATTCTAGTGACGAGGAATACTTGTATACGGTCTCAAATGGCAACGACAAATTATCAAACGCAGCCCTGTGGTAAATGTTGTGGTTGAAGGTCACAAGTTCAACATGATATTGGATACCGGATCCACAATCAACGTTATCGATAGAAATACTTTCGAAAAGATGCAAGGAGTCAAGTTACAACAAACCAACATAAAAGCTTTTCCATTTAACTCTTCGAAACCAGTTTGTTTTATAGGAAAATTTGAATCGACAATCTCAACAAAATCTCGCTATGGGGTTGCAACATTCTATGTCCTAAAGGATCGTAATGCTGGTTGTTTATTTTCAGCCAATACAGCACAAGAACTTGGAGTCATAACACTGAAATTAAACAAACTTTCAGTTTCAGCAACCCCTACAAAACATATTGATCCGCAAATTGATGCCATAGTTCAACGTTTCAACAAAGTCTTTGAAGGAACTGGTAAACTGAAAGGGTACTCGGTGAAGCTAAACATCGACGAAAAGGCAATACCCGAGCACAACTGCAAAGGAGAATTCTTTTTCATCTGAGAATTTTTGGCAAAACTCGCAAGGAACACGATTTAGCTTTGCAAAATTGTTTGCAACGTCTGCATTCAAAGTGCCTTAAGCTAAATCTTAAGAAATGTAACTTTCTACAGAAATAAATTCAATTTTTTGGACAGATTTTCACAGAACATGGTACGCAGCCAGATCCAGCACGCATAAGCGATCTTCAGAATGCACCGATACCTACCAGCATCAAAGAGGTACGAAGCCTGCTAGGAATGGCAAACTATAGTGCTAAGTACATCCAAGATTTTGCGACGCTCACTGAACCACTTCAAGAGATGACGAAAAAGAATACACCATTTGTATGGCAAGCATCTCAACAGAAAGCATTTGAAAACATAAAATTGGCTCTGTCAGAAGCTCCCGTTATGTCGCATTTCAATACCAATAAAGAAACTTTCGTTACGGTGGACGCAAGTTCCGTAGGTGTCTCTGCAATTTTGAGCAACCAAGATCAGTAATAATTACAAGGTTGTCGCTTACGCCAGTCGTGGACTGTCCGATACTGAGAGACGATACTCGCAAACGAAAACAGAGGCTCTAGCCATCGCTTGGGCCGGAGAACATTTTCATTTGTTCCTAAATGGCAACGAATTTACTTTGTTTACAGAACACAAACCTTTGGAAACTATTTACGGCAGTTCAACCTCTACACCGTCCGCGAGGATTGAGCGATGGGTTTTGCGACTACAACCTTATTCGTTTAAAGTGCAGTACAAGGCAGGGAGCGAGAACTCTGCTGATTATCTATCCAGACACCCATCCAGTCAACAATCGCGAAAACAAGAAAGAATCGCGGAGAAGTACGTAAACATGATTACGGGTCATTCTGTGCCTCAAGCTATGTCGCTAGACGAAATAGCGCGTGCTACCAACACTGGCAAAACATTGCATGCATTGCGAGCCGCTATACCAACAAATAGATGGCAAGCATCTGATCGTTTAAAGCCTTTTTGTGCAATCAACGACGAGCTCACTGTTGGTACGAAGGGAATTGTTTTAAAAGGAACACGTTTAGTTATACCGGAGTCACTTCAGCAACGAGCTATAGACATTGCCCATGAAGCTCACCAAGGTCTTTCCAAAACAAAAAGCCTTTAACGAGAAAAGGCATGGTTCCAAGGTATGGACAATCTAGTTCAGCATACCCTAGATTCGTGCATCACTTGTCAAGTTGTCGGCAAACCATCGCCACCAGAACCTCTGCAACAAACTGACTTTCCTAAAGGAACACGGGAATCTGTTCATACCGATTTCTGTCGACCGCTTTCTTCAGGAGATCATCTTTTAGTCGTCATTGATCGTTATTCGCGATTTCCGGAAACCGAAATTGTGCGATCCACGAAAACATCAACTGTCATTCCGAAGCTGGACAAAATATTTTCGGTACACGGCATACCACGTCAATTAAAGACAGATAACGGTCCACCATTCTCGAGTGAAGAGTTTGCACGATATGTAAATGTCCTCGGTATAAATCATAAACCCGTTACACCTTACTAGCCGCAGGCGAATCAGTGGTGGCGCCAGGGGAGGGCTATGGGGGCTACAGCCCCTCCGTCGGAAGCATCTAGCCCCCCATCGGAGAAAATTTTAGCTTATTGTTGGAGCAAATTTGACAAAAAAACGTACGAAAACTGCTTATTTTAGTCATTTTAGCCCCCCTGTCGGAAGCTCCAGCCCCTTTATTGTAAGATTTCTGGCGCCACCTCTGAGGCGAATGGAGAAGTCGAACGCTTCAATCAGCCGCTCATCAAAGCCGTACAAAGCGCAGTGGCGGAAGGAAAGGTATGGCAACAAGACACAAGAACTGAACCGTTTCTTGTTCCAGTATCGTAATACACCTCACAGCACAATGGCAATGGCGCCATCAGAGTTGTTATTCAACAGAAAGGTACAAGGAAAGCTCCCTACTTTAGAGAACCATCGCATAATTAATCGACACAAAGAGGCTAGAATAAAAGGGAGACGCAGTCGTTCGTACCAAGAAACATATGCAAACAAACGCAGAAAGGCACGGAATATAAAGTTAAAAAAGTGAAATGTACTTACCGCATCCTTTGACTGGCTGCCCTGTTTACTCTTGGCTCCATAAACACTCTCCTTGAACCTCCTCTTTTCATATCTGAATAATTCATTGTAAACCAAAAATTTGATTCAGTTTTATTTATTAATATTTATAGGTTTTGGAATGAATGAATAAATAAATAAATTGGAAAATAAATCTTATTGTTCCTAATTATCGGTTGATGTAAAAACGCTCCCGAGCAAATCTTTAGACCTTATCAAGATGACTATTCAATATTTGTGCGTACAAAGCCAACAGACTAAGGTCAGTACTAAACATTAGCCTGTTGAAGATGTAATTCGTCACACAAATTAATTCTCACCTTTTGCGAAGGTCATTCTTGCAGTGATGATGAGCGTTTGTTGCTATCTCTTCCAGTAAATTTGGGTGGTCTGGGAATTCTAGACTTGGCGAGGATAGCAGCACTGGAATATGATGCCTCAAGGTCCCTAACAGAACACATTGCAAAGAAAATTTTCCATCAAAATGATTGGCCGGCTAGCAGCAACAATTATCTGCATGTATTTTCTGACATCACAAAAAAGAAATCAGAACACTATCAAAGTGTAATTGCCTTTTTTCGAGAAAAGATGACATCTGCTCAACGTAAGGCAGACGAGATTGCCTGTTCTGATGTTGAATCAATATGGCTTTCTTCATTGCCATTAAAATATGAAAATTTCAGCCTCACAAAACGTGAATTTTATGATTGTGTCTATTTGAGGTATGCATGGAATTTTCTCATGCAATATTGGTATGAGCACTGAAACAAAGAAATTTTTCCAACGTTTGTCCGAGCTAATTGCTGAAAAACGTCACTCAAATTTCAATGAAACCTCTGCCTAATTCAAAAGAAAGCTTAGTTTTTGTTTACTCAGAACTGCAGTAATTTGCATTAGAGGTTTTAGGTCCCGTCAACTTGTTGTCTCTATTGGTGAAATGGGTGACCTTGACACTAGAGAATTTTTGTCTAGCATCGCTAATTAAAAACATTATGTTTTACATTAACACAATAACCTAAGGTACCCGAAGCGACGTCTCTCGATGTCTCTGCAAACGCAACATATTCGATTTTCGAAATATGAATTCCCATATTCATTCTCGCATTGAGCCCGCCATCCTGCTACGCAGCGTCAATTCGGCCAGGAGCCTCTCCTTTTAACCTACTCAGATAAATAATAAAACAAATTAAAGGCATTGAGTCATGATAAATAGACTGGGTATACCCAAATTGCCAAAATCCGCTGAGTCATGATTTTCATGACTGCGATGCTATTGGTTGACCTGGAACTGGTCACATGAACTCACCTGGTACTGATTGACAAAACAATTTCTATCAATAGCAAGTTGTCAACAACGGATGCCAATATCACATGAAACAGCAGCGATCACGCCGAAACCAAATGATCCCCTATAGAGAAAGCCTATTTACAATGACTCAATGCCTTTAATACAATTAATATAAAACTTTGTACAAGGAAGTTGAATATTGTTGCGAATTTTCGAGCATAATAAATTTTCAGGTCAAACATTAATAATCCTGATGAAAGTTTTGGTCGAATCGTCGCAACCATATTCAACTTCTATGTACAAAAGTCGTATCTTAAGTATATGAATTTGTATATATTTATCAAGCTAAGGGCTGTATCATGAAAATATATATTCATAAAGTATTCCCTTTATTATATTTTTGTTGAACATATTTTTGATTGTGATCGGACAGGGCGAAATTGTGAAATTACAGACGAACTACGTTATTGAGCACTGATTAAATGAAACAGTCACGCTTTTTGTACTAAAATGAGATAGTTAAAAAGCAACAGGTGTTAAGATATATTTTTTTCATGTGCTGGATGAAACTTTTTTGGCCAATTTGATGACGAACGGACAGACGGGAGGGATGGAGACTTTCCTTATGCGAGGAAACATTTTTTCCTTGAAAACAAAGGGACAGTTGAAAGTAACCAGGATTCTCAGTTTTATAATAGGTGCAGATTTGTATGAAATAAACTCGATCGGAAGAAATTTGGAAAATGCTAGAAATCTGCTAGAAAGGAAAATTATGTGCTAAAACTGAAAAATATTTATATTTTCCTTCAATTTAGCTATAAAATTCAGTGATAAGATGAATTTTTCTATAATATCGAAATTCTCGAATTTTTCTAAAAATGCAAGGAATTTCGTAATAGCCCCTTATTTCGTAGTAGCTAGAGGAGAGGGAAACGAATGTGAAAAGAAAGAAAGGCCAATATTAAGGATTAGTTCTCTTTCCCCTCCAATATTAAATCATATTAGATTTAAATGATATTCGAACAGAGCAGCTAAATGTAATGCAATGCAACAGGAAAATTGAAGGTCATTTTAAGCCGACTTTTTGTAATTGTAACGAAGATGAGAATAAAAAGATTTTGACTCTAAATTTTGACGCTAAAAGCAAAACCCATTTCCTGTAACATATCAAAAGTTGCTGACTGTATAATTCTAAAACCAACCCGATTTCCATTTATGAACTAGCTTGCTAACATGAATGGTTTATAAAAGTTCAGAAGTAATTACAAAATTTTGATTGGATACAAAAAGTTTCTGCTGGGTAAGAAACTAGTTATAAATAAACGAGCAAAGTTATTTGGTTTTCTGAAGTCTTCTGAACAATCGAACATTGTAAAAACTCTTAATAAACTGACTGACAAATGTAGGCTGAAGTAGCTTACCACATCAACTCTTTGAAAACAATATGCTAACCTTTTTCCACCACTGCAATCCATTATTCAAACAGGACAGAATTCGAACTTTTTGCAAAATGCCGGCGTGTGTTATCTACTGTTTGTGAGATCAAAGACATATAGGATATTGTGTAGTAGCCATATTAAATGATAAAGATAAGCTATGTGTAGATATAGCACTAAAGGTGTTCTATTCAGCCTCACCTTTCAAGGAACTTTTCTTTCAAAACTGTTCTTGATTTATCAATAGGTTGGTGAGACTAGATTTTTAGGTGAGATTGTCTTAAATTGTTAAAATTCATAAATTTATATACAAACAATCATACCATATTTATCATTAAAACAGAATTATCAAAGTAGAGATTTCCAGTTTTGTTATCATTAGAATTCACGAAAAGTACTTTCGTTGAAACTTTAAGAAAACGGTTCATCCAGTTTCGATTCATGGCCTACAGTTGAATGGCTTTTTTGATCATCAAAATTCAAGGAGAAATCCATTTCAGATTTTATGTCCGATAGGAGATTTATGCAACCAAGAAAACTGTGTTCTGAGTCACTTTCTGACGAAACTTGGCTCGTCTTGGTCTCTGACATCATACCAGGCTTTCGTTCCAAATCGCTACTCGACATAATATGTTCTGAACTGTGCTGTTCCACGTCATCTTTCTCCGTCTCTATTTCTTCAAGCACATGACTCTCATCATTTGGCAAATCTAGATTCGATATAGCGTCAATCGGACCTGATTTTGTTGACTTCACGGGAGATTCTGCACTCAAACTGCTACTCACATCGACTGCGCGATCTTCTGGGCTTTGCATTGAATCCTTACTGACTGCCTTGGCATCACAAATGCTGGCATGCTTTTCATTGCTCTCAACAACATCATCTGCCCCAATACCATGTAAAGAAACAAGGGATTTTGACTTAATGCTTTCTTTGTCCGGTGTTGGGTTCGGTACTTGTATAACAAACGGAAGTGGTTCGCCCTCGTCTTTATGGCGACTATCAGACCTAAATAGGGCTTCATAAACTTCATACCCGGGTATGCTTTCGTGGTGTATTCTGGTTGCTGGGTCTTGCAAAGAAAGTTTTTTCACCAAAAAGGGCGCATCCAAATGATCGTGTGTCAAAGAGAGATATTCAGATTTCATCCTCCGTTGACTTCGTTTCAATTTTTTGAAATTTAGGTCTGATACATTTTCTACGTACGACCTTCGCTGCTTTATAAATGATCTCATCGGCAAAGGCACGTTGTTTGAGGTTTTTGCCTTTCCGTCCAGTCTCCTGCCGTCCCTTCCGCGCGCCATCTTCTTAAGATGATTTGGGATTGTCCGTGAATTCATTGATACAGTATATGCTCTAGACAATACAATGCTCCGTTCCCTTTCAGATAGATAGGTATGCTCCCTGCTTGCCTCTCTTATACTTTCCAACCTTGCATCGATTAAGCTCACACCAGGGGTTTTGAAAGGCGTGAAGGAACGATACTGTTCGTATGTTTTTCTCATTATATCTTTGTCACTAGGAAAATCTCCAGAGCTCGTTTTGCTTAAGACAGGCGAGACCCGAGTTGCGTCATCGTGCGTGGGAGCATCATCAAGTGGTGGCCTACTATCTTCGTTGAAATTAGTACCTCTCACGGAATCTTGTATGCTTTCAATCAACTGCTCTTCTTTGATTGCTTCAATAATATCCGAATCATCGAGCCGACATGGTTCCATTCTCTTTTGTGGACTCGAAGGCGTTGGTGCAGGTGCCTGCAACGTTTCCTCTTCCCTAAAAGAAAAAAACAGATTCTTTACGATCGCCTGACGACATTGAGACATTTTCAAGTGTTGTTAATAATGAAAAAACATTATATAAATTCATTAATATACGCATATAAGAAATATTTATCAGGCTGTATGCAAGCAATAAACAACATGGTAAAAAACCTTCTGGAATTTTCCACAACATCCTGAGAAAAAATCTCAAAGAAAGAACTCGAGATTTTTTCGGCATGTTTTAAATGTTGGATTAGCACATTGTTGCTGCAGCTATCTTACATATTTCACATTCCAACCAGGAGTGGCGGCATGGGGGGGGGGCAAGGGGGGGCTTTAGCCCCCCCCTAGATTTTTGCTAGCCCCCACGTCGGCAGCCAATCAATTTTTGCTTTCTCAATACCGTCGGCACTTGATGGATGTCACCCGGTTTACATGTTGTTTGAATGACATAAATAATCGAAGAGAAAACTGCACTGGCTGGTTTATGGTTTTCTCAATGGCTTTTCTTCGGCAATTTTATTATCATTATATCCATTAAGTTGCATTATATCCTGTCGCTTCCGTGAAAGCTGTGACTTAATTTCATGGTGCTCCTTCGCATGACCCACAATACCATGGTGCTCCTCTCGGTTAAAATCCCTGTTGCTGCTTGGAATTCATGCGAAACGTGCAGAGATGCTTGATTTAGATCATGTTTTGGACCGTTTCAAGGAAATTTACCCTAACAACAGCAAAATCACGCTGTCATAAATAAAGTCTTTAATGAATTTTCTTCTTAAGGGATTCTCTTTTCGTTTCAAGACATTATTATTGCCAATGAAAACATTTCGATCATGAGCACATTTTGCGTAATAAATTTTTCAAAAAGCACTTCTTGTCCTTTTTCATCAACTATTTTTCAATAGCATTGTTCACCGCATAGCTTGCGACACACAAATGGTTTAGAGAAAACCATCGATTAACTTCTTCCAACATAGATAGGAAGAAATATTCAACAATAGGCAATATTTGCGCATTAAGTTTCTTACAAGGCACAAATTGCCGAGAAAATCTCTTGGACTCCAACACAGGTTGGAAAGTGGGGGCGGGGAGGGGGCAAGAGAGAATTTTGCACCCACAGCAAAAGATTTTGGAAAAATGCTCTATTGCTTTGTAAAAAAGTGGGGTCCGTGACCCTTCGGTGCCCCTTCATTGGAGGTGCTGCTCAGGGGCGTCGCGACTGGGGGGTTGTCACACCCACCCCAATAGTATCTCAATAGAAAATTTCAGGTAAAATCCGCTATGTGGAAGAAACGCTTTAGGTATTTCAGAGACCTTCATGTCATAAAATCTATAAAGGATCAAGCAATCTTAGGTAAAATTGTGCCTCGTGTCCATTTCTTCTAAAGGTTCTCAGTAGAAGCGTCAACTGCAATTCACTATGAGCTCCAGATTTTTCTTAACATTCAAAAGGCATGCTAAGATGGAGAGAGGGATCTAAATTTAGAAGTAACTGACAAACTGGTATTTTTCAAGACCACGGCGAAATTGTTGTTTTTATCTCCTGTAAAAAAGTTTTGCAAAAAGACAATAATTTTCAATAGGATTAGGAGGATTGCTTTAGTGAAATTTGCTTAAAAGAGCGCATTTTCCAGGGAACTAGAAGCATCACAATTTGAAAATTTCCTGCCCCTTCGGCGGCAACCATGGTGCCGCCTCAGGTAGTAACTATATATTTTGCCCGTCCCGATATAGAGATTTGACAGACTATTAGGAAAGTCGGTTATTATCATACATAGTTAGATTGACAAAATGTATTGCAGAGGTTTGTGACACCAGCTAAAAAGTTTCAGGCAATAATTTTTTAATCAGGTAAATTTGTATTTCACACCCCCCCCCAACGAGGCTTGCCTCGGGACGGCCCTGCCTGCTATATGGGGAAAATCGAATTTTTTTTCTGTCGGCAATTTGACACATTCAGCGTCGGCAGTTACGGAGAATATAAACTTCGGCACCTTGAAGGTTTGTCTCTAGCGCCACCCCTGATTCCAACAAGCTTCTTTTCAAGAATAACTTAAAAATAATGTCATTACTAAAGCCAATCAGAGTTTGTTTTTCTCTTGTGGAAGCAATTGACAAGTATCGCAAGGACCAAGTTGCTAAATTTTATTGTCCTTAAGTAGGGGCGTCAACCAGAAGGCCGCTGGGCCAAATACTCATGGTACAATAATTTGTTGCCCACATGATAAGCAAATATGTCCGTTCCCAAAAAAGCAAAGATTGAAATGCCAGGTAACAGGACTGCTCGAGGGACTCTAATCGAAAACTGGAGTCAATTTTGAAACTGAAAAACATCGCTCAGAATAACAAATTTTCACTGTTTAACAACGTTTTTTCCCTTCCCCCGTTAATGTTGCCAAATTTAAAATTGTATGGGTGCTGGTGAGAATCTTACTTGCATTAAACACAAGATGGAAGATTCAACATTCTAAGGGGGGGGGGGTGGATGAGGCAATTTAGCAGCATTTGGATGAGGCTTTTTGAACTTAATAATTGTGGCTTTCCAACTATTTGTGTCACGAATTGTCTGTACCATCACTTGCACCATGCTTTATTTTTTCACCCTTATTATGCTATGTGATTGATTTTGATACCCATGTGATCTAAAAATTAAGGTTATAATCATACCAATGAGAATATATCTCCTCTTCTGAAGACTCCAGTCCTTTTCGCTTGTCAGTCACGACAGTTTCAAAAAGCTTCTGATATTGTTCTTCCGATAACTGCACCTCGTCACTAGCTGCGTCCGGTAAAGTTTTTGCTTCCGTTCTGGAAACGCTGTTTTCAATGGAAGTGACGTCTGAAATGGTCCTGTCTGAACCGTAAATTGGCTGCATCTCGATATCAGGCAAATTGTGACTCGGTACCGAATTTCGACAATGATTATCGATTGGGAGTTTCGACAGTTTCGCTCTCGGTACAGTTACCCTCGGCAACGGTAGTTCAGCCCTGAACTCCTTGACATCTTTAATGCCCCGCATGACCCTTGATGGGACATTTGTCGCAAATAATTTACTATTAGTTTGATACAAATCCCTTTTAAAACTGTCTGCCTCCATTCCGTGGTGAATGATCATAGTGTCATCGTCAACAATACAAAGGCTGTGTCGTTCTTCACTGTCCGAGTGCCTCGCGGATTCCCGCGAATTCCACTCTTCAAGTTTTCCATTTGTGAATATAGACGCGCGGGTGTTCTGCGGTGTATTCAAAGACAAGATTCTTTTCTCGGATTTCAATAGCCCATCGCCTGTCAGACGTATATCTGGACCCTCCAACCCGGTAGGCTGGTGTCTTGGTGACCTAAGACAGAAATGATTTTGTCAATAATGAATCAAAGAGGAACCTCCCGAAAGTGAAACATACCGACTTGAATCTTCAGTTTTCAAAGAAAATGGCAATCTCACACATCTTTTGAAACAAATGAAACAAAGAAGAAATGTAATCAGGGAAAGACTGCCCTTACAGCAAATTACAGAAGATTTTGGTATCGATATCCCCTAATGGTCAAATGGGAGGCGATCAGTCCTTTCCTTTTCAAGACAAGAATGCAAATATCAGGTAGAGAAACGTTGACAAAAATGGCTTATTGACCTTGGCTGTAACTTTTTACACCTTTAGTGTATCTTATAACCTATTGCCTAGACAATACATAACAATGAACAAATTACCGCGATTGGCACTTTGTTTTGTGACTAGTTTGAAAACATACATGGGGTGAGCGGTTATCAGGCCTATTTTCACGAGTATTTTACAGATGATGCTGTACATAAAAGTTGGTACTTTACTTGAACAGCTCTGGGAGCCACCGTATTGAATTCAAAACAACAAAGCCATTCTGAGCTACATAAAATACAAATAAATTTCCCTGGGCATCAACGACCAGTTAATAGCATAGGTGTATCTTGTTTACATACCTTGATCTGTCTGATGCATCTCTTGAAATTGGAGGAAGCCGCCTCGGCTGAAGCCTGTTCGGTGATGACCTAACTGTATGTGTTGCACGAGAGTAGCATTTTAAGGCAGTTTCCTAGAATCAGAGATAAAGGCGATACAAAACAAAGTCAATTTCCGTTTATCTTTATTTCTCATAAATAACATATAGCCGTGAGTCTTGGGAGATACAAAATTCTTATAACATTAATTTTTAAAACATAAGCTACCTACATTTTTCAAAAACTAGCCTAAAACATTTGTGGCCTATTTGTGGCATATTAGACTTGATCAAAGATCAAAGTAAAGGAAAAACTACAAAGAAAGTTGAAGTAGGTCGACAAATTGAACATCTATCTGTACAAACTATATAGCTGCGAAATTTAATGATAATTTTTATAATTCATTATTCTGCAGCAAAAAGAATATCTTAGTGAAAAAAGCTGAATATAGGCGCTTTTAAGGTTACGGTAAACGTTTTTGACACGATATTTAGTTTTCTCTTCCTAAAAGCAAAACTATTAACGGAATCAGATTAAACTATACATCATTCGATGCAAAAGAATGTGGCGATTTCAACCATATCAAAATAAATGGCAAATATTGTAAAATGATACTTTCCAGGCAATTTTATTACTTAAATGAGTGTACCACCTTTAAAAGCTTTTTTGTACCCTTGCGTTTAAGATAAAAAAATCTGACTTATATCGGAAGAAAGCGCAGATCCAAAGTGTGTCTCAGATCTTTTAAATTCCTCCTCCCTTTGAAACTATTCCCTGTCAAAAATTGGCAAACAATTTTTCTTTCCTCTCGTGGCTGTATTTGGCTATAAAAGACGGACCAGAGCAAATACAAAAGTTTAGAGACACACTTTGCTTACCTGACCCCTGTCCTGGCCGTGTGCAAAGTTTTGAGCCATTCGATTGGTTCCTTGGGTACAAAATAGCTTTTTCGTACCTGCATGTCGACGAATTGTAAGTCCGGAGAAAACCGTACTTTACTGATCGCACATGCACGGTACACTCGTAAACCACAGTGTAATCCGGGTCAAGTCATTAGAAGCTTTAAGATCAATAAGCCTGTTCAAATAAACGCGGCCATACATTGGGTACATGGGCATACCGGAAAACAAGGACCCAGGACCTTAAGGCAGGACCCAGGACCGAGGACCAGGACCGAGGACCAGGACCGAGGACCAGGACCGAGGACCAGGACCGAGGACCAGGACCGAGGACCAGGACCGAGGACCAGGACCGAGGACCAGGACCGAGGACCCAGGACTATTCTGTTATAACTTGGTATTCTTATAAAGGAAACTGCGAGTGCATCGTCGAAAACATATACGGTCCTGGTCCAGGGTCCTGGTCCTCGGTCCTGGTCCTCGGTCCTGGTCCTCGGTCCTGGTCCTCGGTCCTGGTCCTCGGTCCTGCCTTAAGGTCCTGGGTCCTTGTTTTCCGGTATGCCGGGTACATGGATGTGCCATGCGCTATTGTAAAAGAGACATGCGACCACAACCGCAAACCAACGATAATCGGCTTAACAGGTCAAGAGATTTTCAGGTCTCAACTAAAAGTTCTGATAAAGGAATTATCGAATCCTTTGTTTATGAGATTTTTCCCATTTTCAAAATTTTTGTTAGTTTAAAATTTGGTATCATTGTGTGCTTGAAAGCTTGAATGTGAAAAAATCGAAAAATGGATGATTTCATCCAGAAAATATTTACTGTAACCTTAATATACCCTGTACAAAATAGTTTGAACACAAGGATGGGATCGGAAACAGGAAACATTTAAAACAATATTTGTTTGACGCAAAGGAGAAAACACGTAACATTCACGTTACATCAACTGTTTTCTGTGAAATTATGTGCACATAAAGATGATAATCCGGAATAAGCCATAAATTTCGTATGTTCCTCTTGCCGTTCATGGAAATAGCTGAATTTGCTCTTCCTAGAAATAGTCATTTTCGAGGGGCAAATCACTCTAAGAAAATCTCGTACACCTTTTGTGAAAATCCTATTGTTTTATCTGAAAATCTTCAGAAATCCTTTTTATTTAGGCAAAATCTTGTACGCTATTTGCAGGAGTGAATCGCCCCTCGGTCGTTTTGCCTTTCTTGCTTATTGTAGCTTTACCAAAACAGGTTAGTTCGCATTTTTACTTTACCTTACATTAGCAGAAACGACCTGCAAGCATCCCCCCTCTGTTTATGCTGTGTCATCACCAGAGGACCACAAGAACGTCTCAAAATTTCGAAATGTTTAAATTGTACTTTAAAACATGAAAAGATATGTACATTTTTCATTATCTGGTACGAGGATGGTTTCAAAGAGATTGCAGCATGATTTTCTATTGTACAATTTTGCGAAAATTTACAGCAGCTATTACAATAACCTTATCGCCTTCGCATGCATTGGCAACTGAATTGTTCTTAAAAAATAACTGGAATGAAGTGAAGAATGAAGCGACCTATTTCGCTCTCAGCATACAGCAATCATTAAATATTGCTGTTCATTACTTCCGTTCTAGCATACAACTTACATGATGATTTGCTGTTTCCATTTATGATGTTATGTCGTTTCATCATGGATTGCATGTATATAATTAATCGATCAGTGAGATTAGCTCATCATTAATTCGGATTGCAGCAGCGAATTTCTAGACTGTTTAAATCTGCTTCAACCATTGACATCTTGACCACCTTGTCGTGATTAATGTCTACACAGCTATGAATCCAGTTACGGATGAAACAAGATTTCAATTTATGCTACATTTATTGTCAAGAAGGCGAGAAAGTCGATCCAAACAGATTTAGCTGATTCTGTATGCAGGATTTTTTCAAAACGATATATGCTTGCAGGTTTTGACGAATGAATGCTTTATAAAGGTTCGGTTTGGCTCCATCAATGCAAGGATACATTGACATTAACATATTAATGCCCTGACGTCATTTCACGATTATGACTTTGAGCAATTTGTAAACACACATAATTTTGATAGAGTCTAACAGTTTTATTGGAGTCTCTTTCTATTGTAAAATCCATACCTGTGACCAAAGACTTAACACATTGAAACACAAATAGCAAAAGGTTGAAAATGTGATCTTGAAAGCCTCTCTTCAGGATTAGAAATAAAAAAGGCTGCCATTGTTGATGGTTTCTAAAGAACTTAAGGTCGGCAGCAAGAGAAACTTTTCTTTTGAACAAAACAAAATCTTATGACGCAAAATAGGTTGAAGCAATTACTGATAAATTCGACGAAATAGTTCGTGTTCTGCTCTTAAAAACTGTGCGGCTCATAAACCACCGACAAAGTATCTTATCTTTAAATTGAATTAAATTTCCCGGATGCATCACTTCTCTACAGCAAAAGTAACATCTGCTTTTAAAAATGCAATGCGGTTGCTGCAATTCTAGAAAATGATATTTTCTTGGCACCTGGGTGCAATGCGGATAGACTTCAAGAAGCTTTCTTGCAGACACATCTAATTAAAGACAGTTTTCAACGATAAAAAATAGACAAAAATAATAGGTTTTTGAACAAGTATTTTCTAAAAATTTTCCAGGGAAAAGTAGATGTAAATCTAAAAATAGCACAAATATAGAAAAAAAACTTTATAAGGAAAAAAACCTTTAAATAATTAGGTAGCTCTATTCCTGACAAACAGCGATCACACCCACGAAAAAAGGTCATCCTTATTGCTTAGCTTTAGATGTTTCTTCAGATAAGATGTCGCATTATTCACAATACAGAAAATACTTATTTGGCTTCTTTAAAAATCACCGATAAATCACTTTTTCAGCTTATTATTGTACATTTTTCTATTTAAATTGTATACATCATTTGTTTAACTCGAATCTTATATTGCTTATTTGGGATATGTAAATAGACATCTAGATAACTAACTTACTAACTAATTAATCAAGACGAAATAGTTCACTGATTAACTAACTAACTAGCTAATAAACTTAGACATTTTTGGGGGAAGAATTGAACAAATCATTTCTCTGATGTTTTATACGTAAGTGACGCAAAGCTGGAGTTTGTCGGACAATGTTTATTTTGTCAAAGCCACTAAAAAACCAAGGAACTACCTAATTAATTGAATAACTAATTTTTTCACTAAGTAACAAACTAACTAACTAACCAACTAACTAACCAACTAACTAACTAAATAAATAAATAACTAGCTAACTAACGAACGAACTAACTAACTAACTAACTAACTACCTAACAGACTAACTAATGAATTAACAAACTAACTAACTAACTAACTAACTAACCAACTAACTAACTAACGAACTAACTAAATAACTAAGTAACTGACTTACGAACTAACTAATTAACGAACTAACTAACTAAATAACTAAATGACTGACTTACGAACTAACTAACTAACGAACTAACTAACTAAAAAACTTAGTAGCTGAATAGCTAAATAACTAACTGACTTAAGTGAATAACTAAAAATTGAGTGGCTTGCAATGGCCTTCAACTAAGAAAGCTTTTATACCATGAATAATAATAAGTCATTCGTGTCTGAATAAGAACTAAAACCTGACTCTCAAACTATCTCGAAGATAGCAGTGAACCGGGCAACCTTTTATAGGAACACAAACGGACAGAACCGGTCAACCTGCTCCGTTAGCTTTTGAAAAATGAATAATAGGATTCCCAAACCATAAATCAAAAGAAAGTTAAGCAAAAAGAGGAGCTGTACTAACCTTGTTGAAGGGAGTTGAGAGAAATCCAAAATCGGGATTGCTTCCAGTGATGTTTTTCATTGCAACTTTTGGAACTTCAGTTGACCTGTAAAAGAGCGAATAACATATTCACTGTTGTTATCTCCCAGGCAAAGCATCGCAAAAATACAAAAGGCTTGTATCTAATTAAAACGCTTTATTCTTGCGTAGACAACAATAGATGCCGAAATACTCTTGCAAAACCAGATAAGAAAACTAGCACAGTTAACAACAACCAGGATTATTCATTGGTGTATGTTCCTGAAGAAAATCCAATGAAAGAATTAACAAATTTATCCTTGCTTCTCTGTAGATTAAAGGTTACGTAATTCAGTAACCAAGTTTCTATCGCTGAAATAGAGCACTTTGATTAGTAAGAATAAAAATTGACCCGATGACAATTGACTGCGGGTACTACGGTAGGCAGGTTTTTCTTCGTGGCTTTTTCTAAAACACAATTTTTGACCGTTATCTGTTCATAAATTATAGGGGCTGAGACAAGCGGTATATGGGCAGCAGGCAAATTCTTTCAGGCAAATTGTTTCTCTAACGATACTAACATTTGGCTAAACAAGGTATCATTTTTAGTGATGGAAATAAAGCTATAAGAGAATTGAATTTAAAATCAGTCTCCTGTTAACCTACGCTGGGCTTGCATTGAAATTACCATAATAATTCTGGGCTTATTTAAAATTCGATGTTGGATAGTGATGCTTATTCGAGAGGAAAGCTTATTCGAGAGGGAAGCTTATTCGAGAGGGAAGCTTATTCGAGAGGGAAGCTTATTCGAGAGGGAAGCTTATTCGAGAGGGAAGCTTATTCGAGAGGGAAGCTTATTCGAGAGGGAAGCTTATTCGAGAGGGAAGCTTATTCGAGAGGGAAGCTTATTCGAGAGGGAAGCTAATTCGAGAGGGAAGCTTATTCGAGAGGAAAGCTTATTCGAGAGGGAAGCTTATTCGAGAGGGAAGCTTATTCGAGAGGGAAGCTTATTCGAGAGGGAAGCTTATTCGAGAGGGAAGCTTATTCGAGAGGGAAGCTTATTCGAGAGGGGAGCTAATTCGAGAGGGAAGCTTATTCGAGAGGAAAGCTTATTCGAGAGGGAAGCTTATTCGAGAGGGAAGCTTATTCGAGAGGGAAGCTTATTCGAGAGGGAAGCTTATTCGAGAGGGAAGCTTATTCGAGAGGGAAGCTTATTCGAGAGGGAAGCTTATTCAAGAGGGAAGCGTATTCGAGAGGGAAGCTTATTCGAGAGGGAAGCTTATTCGAGAGGAAAGCTTATTCGAGAGGGAAGCTTATTCGAGAGGGAAGCTAATTCGAGAGGGGAGCTAATTCGAGAGGGAAGCTTATTCGAGAGGGGAGCTAATTCGAGAGGGAAGCTTATTCGAGAGGAAAGCTTATTCGAGAGGGAAGCTTATTCGAGAGGGAAGCTTATTCGAGAGGGAAGCTTATTCGAGAGGGAAGCTTATTCGAGAGGGAAGCTTATTCGAGAGGGAAGCTTATTCGAGAGGAAAGCTTATTCGAGAGGGAAGCTTATTCGAGAGGGAAGCTAATTCGAGAGGGGAGCTAATTCGAGAGGGAAGCTTATTCGAGAGGGAAGCTTATTCGAGAGGGAAGCTTATTCGAGAGGGAAGCTTATTCGAGAGGGAAGCTTATTCGAGAGGAAAGCTTATTCGAGAGGGAAGCTTATTCGAGAGGGAAGCTTATTCGAGAGGGAAGCTTATTTGAGAGGGAAGCTTATTCGAGAGGGAAGCTAATTCGAGAGGGGAGCTAATTCGAGAGGGAAGCTTATTCGAGAGGGAAGCTTATTCGAGAGGGAAGCTTATTCGAAAGGGAAGCTTATTCGAGAGGGGAGCTAATTCGAGAGGGAAGCTTATTCAAGAGGGAAACTTATTCGAGAGGGAAGCTTATTTAAAGATTGAAATTAAAGAATGAGGGTACTACAAACAAAAGAAAATTTGTCACCCAAAATTATTGTTTTATATGTGTGACAATGGTGTGTCACAAAAAATTCAACACATAATATTTGAAAGGGGTTCCTTAGTATGACTAAAGTTTATAGGAACGCTTGTTGCTATTTGATTGGTTTAAATATAAGTTCTTTTGTAGATGTAGCCGTTCTTTATGATCTTCTTAACGTGCAGGAAACACGGAACCAGCAAGACACGATGTTACGTGACCGTTGCGTCTTGATGGCACTATGAGTGTGTTGTTGGTTACCTTACTATGGTAACAAAAACAATGTAGGATGCAAATGACGGAGATATAAAGAAGGACAAGATTCTGACCAAAATATGGTCAGTATAAATTTTCGTAAAATAATTTTAAAATTGTTCCTATTGAAGCCAAAAATTTAAATAACCAAAAAATATAAATTGGAATAGAGTTACGCAAGATCATAGCTGTATTTGCTCTTGCGAACGATCAAATTAGAAGGAGCTTCAAGAAAAAGAAAGATCACACCCTTAAGGATTTGAGAAAACGCCCCATTTTGTAAATGCGTTTGAAAAAGCTATGGCTTTTCTTACGCATCACATTCTTTATTGTGTCAGGCGAGGAAGCTCGGCGTGTAAAAACTAATTAGTTGTAAGCAAATATCTAGAAACAAAAAACCAGTATTCAAAAATTTCAGAGAAAGCCCGTTATCCTTGGCGGAAAATCTGCAAAATCCCCGACAAGGATTTCAGAATATAGTTTTTCAAGGATTGAAGCGCTTTAGAATTTTAGTTTCTATTTTATTGAGAATGTCTAAAGAACGTAAAGGACTTTTCTATATAAACCCTAAAACGAGGGGAAATTGTAACAGCATTAGCAAACCTCTTATACGTTTGGTCACTTTCGTTTTCTGTCTGTGATAATTTTGTGGGCCTTATTGTATTATGTCTTATCTGTTAGTACTAGTAGCTTTGTGCAGATGCATCAATTTGTATTTGTATTTGTATTTGTTGCTACCTAGCATCCGAAGGTAGTTTTTAGGACACTGAGAGGCTATGCTTATCGAGCAGTGTCCTAACTAACTGACTAACTAACTCAATGACCTAACTGTACTGCAAAACCTATTATTAGTTCATGACATCATCAAAAAATTAATAATGACATCATCAAAAATCAGTGGTGGTTTTGGTGCGAAGGGTTGCCTACCATCAGTGCCTTTTAGAAATAGATACATCTTCACGCACAAAGTCATATAAAGCATTTCATAACAATACCACATACTCAAACCTATAATTTGGATTTAATTTGGTAAATATCATAAATAGCAGTCTTCCCTTCAAAGAAGGTTCTAAAAACATAATAATAACCTCAGTCATTGAACCCCCTTAATCAAACTAATGGTAAGACCAACACACAATTGATAATTGTGCAAGAGATTAAATCATGCATAGGGTATCATATCATACGATCATATAGATATCATACAAATCTTTATAAAGCATACCTGACACTTGCTGAATCTTCAATTTTGTTTTTACCCCTCTTTGAAGGTACCCAAACCAGATAAGGCACAAATGTTTGTGAATATTTCTCTTCTCTGTGGTCAACATCCTGTAATTGTACACTTGCAGCCTTGACATTTTCATCTGTTTTTGCATTGGTTTTATCCTCAGTGATAGTCTTTCCAACCTTTTTTCTTTGTCTATTGAAGTACTGGGAAGCATATGAAGGAGATGGGGTAGCACATGGAGCTTTTGGTAACCGTGATGACCTAGAACATGGATAATTTGTATCATTCTTGCAGTCAATGATATCTGCAAAATGTATAGATAATATTTTGATTTAACACAAATCTGCATCATAAACTTTAGGAAGTAACAGGCACCCTATACAAATATGATCAGTTTTTTGTAATGTGACAAATAGCACAGGGCTGTAAAAGAGGGATTCGACACAATACACATGGACTTCAAAAAGTTGACTTCACAGAATATAGCCAGAAAAAACAAGGAAAACATATTATTATAATTACATTGTCTAGAGCAAGCAGTAGAAATTAAGATTTTGTTACTATTTCATCCAATATTAAGAGTCATTAGCAGTGACATAAAGAACCAAAGTTACCTTTAGTTAAAAAAAGGCCCCAGCAACAATGTTTTTGATGGATGTATTGTGAAGGATGTATGGATGTATTGTGAGGCTGTGATAAATGAATTCAAGGGGGCCAAGCCTGCATGATCTCTTAGTCTTAACAAATGGAAATTCTTTTGATGAGCATTTCATGTTTTTTCTATAATGTTTTAAAAATGCTTATAATCTAGAGTCCCAAACTGAAAAACTATTAGGGCCCCAGCTGCTGCTGTTACACCACTAGGCATCAGTAGTTTCCCTGGTGATTTAAATTTCCCATTGGTTTGATTATACAATAAACCTATTGTTACATATCCAATTGGCAATGCAAAGCCCTGGCAAAACGAAAAAAATGTTGGCATAAAACATCATGCAACAATGTTTGATAAAACGTGTTTCATTTGTTTGGCCACAAAGCTTTACGATGTTTTTTAGGTTAAAACCTCTCCTTTTGTTATCATGCTTGATCAACAACTTTGTGTTCAATTGGCCACCCCAGCACCGTAGGTTAAAATTTAGTGCTACAGATTTTTAGTGCTATGCTTGCGCACTAGAGATGCTTTGACGATTGTCTTTATTTCTTTAGGCCAGGTCAGAAAACATCACCCAACAATGTTGGTAAAACAATGTTGGGTGATGTTTTATAGATGTTTGATTTGTTTGGTCAGGCCTTAAGGCTAACTGTCGAATTAAAAAAGGCTTGTGGAGACTATTGTTTGTTCTGCAGGGTTGACTGAGAGGACATAGTGCCTCTAACCTTGCCTTTGCTATTTTATATTTCATTGTTGGAAGTGGATAGCTCACACCACTATTATAATTGAGAATTAATAAGTTTATTATAAAATGATACATACCGAGTTCCTGCCGATGAGATGGGAAATTGGTTCTCTTTAGTAGAACTAAGCAAATGGAGGTAGTATGATGATCTATCCAAATTAACATCATATTGGTCATCTTCATCATTCTCAAAAACATTAACTATTTTCAAAGTTGGTAACGGCTCTACAAAAAGAAAAACATATGACGTGCAGTTCCAAAATACCATTTTTATTGAAAACTTTTTAATTAATTTTGGGTCCACTGAGTTTAACTGATCTATTTATAAGTTAAATTTATGTTTATTCATCCATAAAGATAGAAAAATTGTCCATCTGTTTATCCCCATTTCCAAAAATTTGTGTGGAAAGTATATTGGAAAATATACTCTATGAAATGCAGTCCTTTTGGTTTAGCATGTGCAATCGCACCTGCACATGCCTGCACACGCGCAAGTTAAATTGCACATGCTTTTCATTACACGCGCAAACAGCAATGTTTGCAGTTTTCTGCTAACATCAATTTCCCATGGTCTCATGATTGTCTATCCTTTTCTCTTGTTACTTGATTAGCACTTTTGATCACAATATGATTTTTCCAATTTTCAGAAGTGATGTTTGGCTTTTGACTGAATGTTAAGTGTAATAACTGATTTCCTGTCAAAACATAATTGTGCCCTGAAAGCAAGTAGCTTAGCTGTTGGGAACAATTGTTATTTGCTCTTGTAACTTTGGAGAGTGATGATGACTGTTGAAAGATGGCTGCTTAGGGCAACAAAATCTGTTATGTATTGATTGGATTGAGTTTTTCTCTTGCACTTATTCGAGTGGCTTTTACCTTTCTTGCTCCTTTTACCAATTTTATCAGGTTGGCACTTCAAATTTTCTTACAAGTATGATCGCACACACACATTTGTTTACATGTGCGATTTGCCACTTATGCTTAATTTTGCTCACGAAAAGGACTGGAAATGCACAAACTTTCAGTGAATCTCTTATTCTAGTTCAGCAGGACCATTTTGATCTGTTTTTAGTGTGTGTTGGGAAATAAATGGAAGCAACAACCTAAGACCAAGTGTTTCTGTATTCTGCGAATGCATTTGTAAGCTTTCAGCATTAAAAAATATATTACAATTTTTGTTCTCATATGCACATTTAACATTTGCTGCAAAATTGAAACTGGCAAGTCTGAGAAATTCAAGGTTATTGCCCATGATGCTACTCCTACCAATCCTAGACTGTGCCTGAAATCACACACATTTAGAAAATTTATAGTCGTAATAATGCAAAATATTATTAACTAGGGACTTATTGCAGCCAATATGCAAAAGTGTGCAGATGGAAAATTTGAGTGCACAGGCCAAATTTCCTTGTCTGGTACCAATATTTTTGCATTTATTTCAATTTTCTTTTTTAACTCTCTGATGCCCACACATTCTGTAATTTTAGGTTTGCTTTCATTTATTTATTTATATGATAATTCTAATAATCATTATTGCATATATGCTTCTTTGATTAGTATGTTCAATCTCTGTTGCTAGCAACCACATCACATCATACATAATCAAATGCTGATAATATATCTAAAATTAGAATTTCAATGATCTCCATTATTGAAGCACGTGCCATATCTTTACTCATTGTCAACAAACAAATATTCAGTTGATCTTGATGACCATATAGAACAAGCCCTCTAAGTCTAGGTGACTGATGTTAAATCTAACGAAGACTTGCCGTTACTATAGATTATACCTTGCACAATTCCAGCATTCAATGTTTTGACTGTTGCTTCGAAGTCGTCTTGCGCGCCTGTCGTCTTTATTTCACCTTCATATAATCTTTTGAGTGCTTCGATCATCCGATCTTTTTCATCATTCCAGCAACTAGGATGCTGGCAAAGCGGCCCGCAGCTCTTTATTTCTGTCATAATTCTTTAACATCTATATCAATTTGTTTTTATGGTGAATTCAGCGATCTTGAAAAGACAAGTAACCAAGCGGATTGTTCATTTTGATTTCCTTGTTTGTGTTGTGGTTGTTGGTTTGATCTGATTCCATGGAAACCAGACGAAATAGAGGCTAGCACAAGCAAAGATTGTAGGAGGAGAACGAGAAAATTTTGGATTTCTTATTGCTTTTATTTCAATACTGAATATCTACAACTACATTTGTTATCTTGTGGTATTAATTTGGCATCTCATCTCATCATCGTATCTTAGTCTTAATAATTTTCTTAATTTGGAAGATCATTTTTCATCCGAAACACATGATGGTGCAATATTTATTTGTCTCTGTCTAATATTTCTTTTTGGATGAATCATTTCGTTTGATATTGCATCATTGATAAGTGGCCGTGACTCTTTTCTTGTCTTATACTTCGACCAAAATTCAGAGATTCTTGATTAAATAAGCCACTTAGTTATCCATAATTGTAAACATCCCTTTTCAGTTTTCCTACTTCAGTGAGTGTCCTTTTGGAAATTTTTTACAATTGGTAAATCGCATTCTTGAGTTCTAACTTAAGGTTGCATCAAAAGCAAGGGCGTGATGGCCCACCGGGACTCGGTAATTTCCCGGTAGGTCCTTGAAACTTTTCATGTGAGCTTCTTGGATTTTTCTTTTTTATAAGTTTTAATTATTTGAAACATCAGATTGGTGAAAAACAACAAATGAAGTTAAGCCCCACGCTGCCTCCGCAACACTCACTTCCAACAAGAAACAATCAACATCTAAATGGTGTGCCCCTAACCCTAAAAATTTGATTTTCCCGGCCTATAACATTTCTCACGACCCCCCTGATCAAAAGGGCATATAGGTTGACATGATATTTACGGTAAGAACTTTTCGAAGAGAAGAAAGTTTCTGCAATAGATAAGCGAAACCTTTATACAATAAATTTCCCGAAAGAAGCAGAAAAGGAATTTTCGTGAAAAACGTTCGCGTTTAAGTTTTGCAAGAAAAATTTTAGGTTTCTTTTTATTTCAATTGTCATATCCAACAAAAAGTATGTTCATAGGATGAGGATTAGGTTACCACTTACAGGCTAGTACTTGCTACAAGATTTTTTAAATTTCATTAATGTTTTAAAAAATAAAATTTGTGTTCAATTAGATTGTTGTGGACAGCTATCTACGTAGAACTCAAAACAGTGTAAAAAACACTTGATTGCTGCAAAGTGTATTAAAGGTGGGGGTTTAAGCCACCCAATATTTCAACCAGCCAATCTTTATCAGCTTGCCGATGATGTCAGGTCTTAAGGGATTCCTAAAAAATATTTCGTTTTCATATTTGGCCATATAAATTGGCAAAAGTTTCTCAACGATTAGAAATATAGTTCTAATTTTCTTTGAGGAATAGCGACTTTATCAAAACAGACAAATTTATCACATATTTTTCTATCGGCAGTTTGGTATGTTCCTTTATCGGTAGCTCCGTAGTATTAGAACATTGGCACCTTAATTTTCTCCGCCATCTTTGAGGAAAAAGTGATTTTTTCAAAACGATAGCAAAAGGGGATTCTTTTTGTAAATGCATGGAACTACATGAAAATGTCATTTTGCTACAACGAAATTTTGCTATAGTTTACTATAGGGGACTCTAACCTTGCAATGAAGGAAATTTCTTTTGAAGGAAATGGAAGGCAGTAGAGATTTGATTTGAAAAACTCAAAGCAAAATAATTCTCGAGAAATTCTAAAGTATTCTTATAAAGAACAGTTTATCAGACCAGGCGTATATTATGGCAATTATTTAGCTGCCCCTACCCTCTGGTAATCTGAAAATATTTAGTAAACGGTGAATATCTGCTGCGTTTACCAAATATGGGCATTTTCCCAAACCGGGGGTCACGGCCAGCTTTGGATCACGTGCACTGCAGCCTTTACTGTATTTAACCTTATTCTTCTTCGAAATAACCTGATTCTTTTGTAGTTAAGAAGTTTTTAAATTCAGTCTGATAGCAGATTACACTCTTTTTTTATAAGAACCATGAAATTTCAGTTCAGGCTGACTGTTTTTAATTTTTTCGAAAATCTGAGGCTGGATAGTTCTTAATTTGTTCTCAATCTAATAGGGTGTAAGTAGTGCGAGTGCTAGCTTTTTCGCTCTAGGGAGGTGTTCAGGCCTCATTTGCCAACAAAGTGAGTGAGACAACCTTCATTTGCCGAAAAGTTTGAATATTCGACGAAAAGGCACCCACTCATCACTAAAAATCCTCGATTTTGAGGAAAAACATTGTTCAAAATTGCATTTTGCAGAAGCTCAGCCTCAGCTTGTTTTTAATTTGTTTTTAACTTTTGACCAATTTTGAGGCTCGTGTTCTTATAAAATTGTTCTTATAAAAAAAAGAGTGTATATAAGATCTTGAAGTAATACCTTAAAAAGACGGGGGTCAAATCTTTAATCAGCACCTTTTCGATAGGATTTTCTTTGTCACTCGTTTTAGGGCAGCCTCTCCTTTATATCTCAGCGCTCAAATTTTTTCGACTTCTTTGTTATTACCTACTTTAGAAGAGCACATGACATGTTCTTCAAAGAGTCAAGTGAAACAAAGGTTCTGTCAGTTAAGTTATTCCAAAATTTTATATAACTATTCAGCCATTATATATCTAGTTTTACGCTATTCGGTGTATAGAATAGGACGGTTCTATGTTGCTACTTTGACTTTCACGCTTAATGCGATCATCAGACGATATCAAGTTTTATCTCATATCAAACCTCTGTCCTGTGCGTCACTACTATATTCTCACATAAATCCTTGTGAATTTCAGAAACAGCATCAGAAAACAAAATGTCTTTCTCCCTGTGCCAAACCACCTACAATGAAGTATTAAAACAGCTGAAACTGATACGTAATGATTTATCAACGGGCCCAGATGAAATTCCTACGTTACGTAAAGCTAATGGGAAATATCATATGCTCTCCATTCACTCACATCATCCAATACATTCATTAAAAATAACAGCTTCCCCTCGCTGTGGAAGATGGCTAGAGCTGTGCCAATCAACAAAGTGCCATCTGCGACTGAAAGCTCACACTATCGCCCCATCGCCATACTTCCCGCTCTTTTTAAGATAATCGAAAGAATAGTCAAGTCATCGATTTCATAGAAAGTCTCATAATTTACAAAAATACCCTCACTGGTTTCAGGAGTGGTTTCTCAACGGATTCTGCGCTGCTAAAATTGAGAGATAACATAAAGAGAGCCATGAACGCCGGCAAAATATCGTTAACTGTATCAATCGACTTTTCAAAGGCTTTTGATATAATCTCACATGACACACTGATAAGGTCTTTACATAAAATGGATTTCTCAAAAGACTTTCTAAGTTGGTCATTCGGCTACTTTAGCAATCGCAAACAATACGTACAAATTGATGCTCAACAGTCGAAACCAATGACAACATATTTCGGAGTGCCGCAAGGGTCAATACTTTGACCGCTGTTCTTCAACCTTTATGTTAATGGTCTACCGGGCAATATTGATTCAAGACCAATCCAATACGCAGATGACACGAGTAAGGCAAATCCAATGATATACAAATTACCACTGATAGGTCAAATTTGTGGTTAGAGAAATTGGAACAATGGTAAAATGAAAATTATCTGGCCATAAACGCAATGAAAACCAAATTTTTAATCAGCGGATCCAAAAGACAGTACGATCGTCACCAAATTGAAAAAAGACCATGTCACTATCATTGGGAGGAGAATGTATCGAGCTGGACGAAAAACCTCGCCTCCTAGGAGTCTATCTCCATAAGCACTTGAATTGGTCCAATCATTTGGAAGAACTCCCCTCTAGCTGTTAAGGAAAATTATCAGTTTAAAAAAAGCTGAAACACTTCACGACCTTTTAATTGAGAAAACAACTTGCTGAAATCTTAGTGTTGACGCAGGTTGATTTTAACGATCATGTTTATTCACCACTGACAATCGTCCAAATGAATAAACTGCAACGATTGCAGAAAGTTTGTGAGTACTTGCCTTTTCCCTTTTAACTCTTCTATTTACTCAAAAATAATTTCTTCGCAATGGAATTTTCAGATTGAAGAGAAAGGAAAGTCCCTCAGTGACATTATAACATTGATTGAATAATGACATAAAGTAACGAATACTTTATTTTCTTATATTTTCTTGTGCTGCAAATTATCTCGCAGAAAACATACTGGCCAGGTCTTCAGCAAAAATAAAAGTTTGTCGTTTTTATATTCAGACTTTTCGTAAGAATAGAATTTTTTGAAATGTATATTTTTTGAAATTTTACAGGAACAACATTTCGCGAATGTTATTTTATGAAAATTCACTGAAATAAACATTCGTTAAATGTGTGTTTTAAGGGACTTCACGGGAACAAAATACACTTGCACACTTCGCACGAACTATTCGATAGGGCCTCGATTTGAAGAAACCTCCCTCCAAAAAACAAAGCAACGTTTACATTTCAGTACAATTCAACTCATCAAATTTGGTTTGCAATTCTATAAGCCCTTTCAAGATTTCGATCAGGTGGTAAATTGTGACCAAATTGATCTTTAACCGGCTGGCAAAACGAACTTTGACTGTGTTCCTATAGTGTACAAGAGGTTTGCAAATTAAGGATTCAAACTTGTGCTCATTATGTTAACAACAAGAGGAAACATTTTCACGTATGTAAAACGTGTGGAACAGGCATCCCGCGACCTTCTGCTCAAAGAAACACCTCTTCTGTGGCCTAGATTCTGCGGTCGAGCAGTTTCAACGAAGAGTGGCTATAGGCAAAGGTATGACAATACGGGATCTCTACCTGACATAAAGAATGTTACTGTCATTGGGCTAGGATTAATGGGATCTGGCATTGCTCAAGTCGCCGCTCAAAATAACTTCAAAGTGACTGTTGTCGACGAGCAGGATGAGTACCTACAAAAAGGCATGGTTTTAATTCGAAAGTCTTTAGATAGAATCACCACGAAAAAGTTTCCAAATGAGCCAAAGGGAAAGGAGAAGTTCATTGATGACACCCTGAGCAAGATTAAGGTATCAAGGAATGTTTCTAGATCAGCGGAGGATGCAGACCTGATTATTGAAGCAATTCCTGAAAACATGGATTTGAAGCAAAAACTCTTTAACCAGCTTGACGAGGCAGCTCCAGCCAGAACAATCTTTGCAAGTAATACATCCTCTATGTCAGTAACAGAAATTGCCAAAGGTACAAATAGAGGTGACAGGTTTGGGGGCCTTCATTTCTTTAACCCTGTACCTATGATGGCACTTGTGGAAGTTATTAGAACGCCAGAAACAACTGACTCTACATTTAATGCATTGTTCAAGTTTTCTCAAGAGTTGGGTAAAAGTCCTGTTGCCTGCAAAGACACTCCAGGGTTCATTGTGAATCGCCTTCTTGTGCCCTATATGATGGAAGCAGTTAGAATGATGGAAAGGGGAGAAGCAACCCCAAGTGATATTGACAAAGCTATGAAACTTGGTGCAGGATACCCTATGGGACCATTTGAATTACTAGATTACGTTGGACTGGATACCACAAAGTATATCATTAATGGATGGCATAATATCTTCCCAGATAATCCACTGTTTGATGAAAGTGAGACATTAAATAATCTGGTGGATGAAGGAAAATATGGCAGAAAGTCAGGTGCTGGATTTTACCAGTACAAAACTGGAAATGGCAAATGAATGTCTAAAACAGAAAGAAAAAGCAATTGTTACAGTAAATAACTACTCAAAAGTCATAGCAAAGAGTCAATCAGGTAAAATTCGCTGACATTTGCTAGATTAAATTAATTGCACAGTCCTATACCCTATAGAAATTTTATGCTTTTAGACAGAATTCTGACTAGATTTTGTTGTTCTGATTTTTCATGTTATATATTTTTGAATTCCTAAGTGATATGAAGTCATTTTGTTGGAATATTCTAGTTACTAAATATGCTTACCGATGTGTTGTGAAATGTTTCCAGCAAAATGATTTATTAATTAAAGCTAATATTTCTCCAACTGTTTGCCTGTTGTTTTCTTTCTCATCTACCAGCATACCTTTATGTATGAATTTATTTGATCAAAAGACTGGGTTGACCTGCATCAGTTAAATTTAGCTCTATAGCTTTTATTTTAATCTGCCTTTTTCATTTTGCTATGCCAAAAAGTTTCATTTGTTTATACATTTTATAATCAATTACAACAAAGTAAGCTAACTAGGAATTAGTGAAAACAATAATTGCATAATTAATTTGATAATAATTGCATAATTAATTCATAGCTGTAAATTTAATTGCATAAATTTTTTACACATAAATCATGGAAAATTTTAAACCTGGTAACTGACTTGATAGGTTCTACAAAACGAATATGGAGGTATAATTTAATTCTTTGCTGGCTAGCGGTTCCTTGGAACTCCATTGCCTTCATGTTGATGGTTAATTAACATTTGCTATGCATTGTGTCTCAAATCGACTCTGCTCAAATTGCACATAGAAATGTGCACCATGACATGAAACGATAAAACATCCTTTTAATGACGTATGCAGCAGATGGAACTATCTGAAATTAAGTGTGGCGAACCAAATGTTCCCCACAAGTGAGTTAAAGGGCCACTCCAGCCCAAAACTTTTTTTGCATAAATTGGTAGTTAGTCGAGAAAAAGAAGCTATCGTGAAATTTTTTTTCGAAAAGCTTAACTCGTTTTCCAGATATAGACGCTCAAAGTTGAGAATCACCGTAAAAATACGACAAAAATTTTTTCGGAAAAAGCACTTTGTGACGTGTGAAAGGGCTATTGTTTCAACATTCGGCGCTATTGTTATACGTTCGCACTGAAATTCGCACGACTCGGTAGAGGCTCGGAAGAGGCGATTCATGTCGGAATCTCGGTTGTCGTTTTATTTATTTTCCTTCATTGCGATTGATGTTCAGCGGAGGCTTTCAGCCAACATGGACTAGTAATTCGACAAATCAAAGATGGAAGCTTCAACCTGAACCATCTTGGCAACGCAGCAAGCTTTTCAATATGGAATGCTTCACGAATTTTCAGATGTGAATGGATTTCTGACCGAAGGCATTTCTTATCGTCGTGTCATCTCAGGGATTTCCAGGGAGCTGAATAATAGAATTGATGTCTCACCGCAGTAGAAGAAGAACCCCATTCACAAGATGAAAACTTTCCTGTAAGTCAAAATTCATCCTTTTTATCATTTTACTATGTTGAATGTTAGGCGAAACTGCAGGGTGTAGAGGTTTGGAGGGGCTCTAAATACAGGTTTTCTAACAGCCAGTCTTGTGAACTGTCCCCCAAATGGTCAGAAATGTGGTAATATGAAAAGTACAACAGGGGCTCTCAAGCAAAATGTCACATAAAATATTACCAAAAGTAGAAGTTTGCTACTTTTTTGTACCAACAAGGGGGCCTGAGCCTCCTAGCACTACATCCCTGCCAATGATCTGTGCACTACACCTTTTTGAGGTATAGATGTGTAAAATTTCCCAGGGTTTGTCTCCTGAACCCTTCTTCTTCATGTTCTACCTTGTTCTGCCTTCAATTTTGGAGTTCTGCCTATTTCATCATAAAATTGATGCACAATTTCAAAATTTTGCCAGATCAATATCCAGGGCAAAAGATCTACTACCCAAAAGAAAAAACATGGAATTTACACCCTTGGTTTTGGAAAAAAGATGTGTAATATCCTCATTCTAATGTTTTAAAGGCAGAATTGTTTATATTTGTTAAATTTACCTTTGCTATTCTAGCATTGATTCATATAAGCATGGCCTATATCATTTAAATTCATCTTTGTGTTACTTCAAGTTAATATCCTTAGATGCTATTTGCTATAGTAACAGTGGTTGCCCTTTCACCCCTAAATTTCTCTTTGGTCCTTCTAAATATCTATACTCTGAATGCCCCTGAGTGTCCAAGTTTCTTTGATGATTTTATGTTTTAATATGACTCAAAAGTAAATTTCACTGGTATGTTAGTATTTATCCCTGTCAACCTTATTATTCTAGGCATAAAAAAGGTTACAAACTCTTTTATGGACCAGCAGAAAGGATCTTGCAAAAAATGCTAGATGAAGGTTGGAGATTACATGCATCCTGTTATCTGGCTACTGGCTTTGTGGGAGTGATAACTTGCCCCTCTCTTCCATTCAAGAGTTACCACAAAGACCTCAACACATTATTCTGTTTTTGTATTAACATTTTCACAAAGGAGACTATTTTTCTAAAATTATCAAAATTTTATATATAATTTGGTCATATATAATGTTTGCAAATTTTTTAAAGCTAGTAACAACATATAGGTATTTTCTAGAAGTTTTGCAATAGATTATTGTTTCGTGATACTTTTATAAGAACATTTCTCATGTGCAATAGAAATTACAAATTGCTAGCTAGTTCACTGGATGTGATTGTATAATTCAATGTAGCCAAGTATTTAAATACATCAAACATGTATTTATTATTCATAAATATAGCAGGTTGAGATTCTGACAGCTTAAAGGAGCTGACAAGGCCCCTGTAATAGCTTAAAGGTTAAATACAAAAATTATATTTACAAAAGTATATTGAAAAAGTTGAATTTATTAATATAATCTCAAATCCCTTTTTTGTTTGTATAAAAACAAATTTATAATTTTTGAAAAAGTTGTTTGACTCATGACTAATGGTAGGTTTTTAGTCATGTCTTGAAAGTTGTATACTTTCTTGTCCATGTCCTCATTTGTCCTGTTTTATTTCCAATAAGTCATGTTGATATGAAGCACTTTATCCTAATGAATATGTTGTATCAATTCATACAGCTTTCATTCCCGGTATACCGGTTTTGTTTTCTTCTTTCCTCCCGAATTAATTGCGCGATGGTTTTTTAGCTGTTGCACTAAAGGAGGGGCTGATGAAAAAGCGCGAATCTTCTTTTTAAAATCAGGGAACTGGCCTGCCAATACAAATTGCTTCAAAAGCAACATTCCATGAAAGTCTGTCAACATCTTCATGTCTCTGTCTCGCTGGCCTACTTTGCCAATTTGACTTCTCTGTCAGAAAGATTCGTGCGACAAAAAACTTCCATATTCGATCAGAGTATCAAGACTGATGAGCGATACTTCTCTCTTTATATCGATTCCAGATAAAAGTCTGGCCTTCTAACAAGCATGCCGCTGCTAGGCCCTGTCTGCCATTTCGCTAGGTTCTCGTTGACCCTTTGGACAGCCGATGATACTTGCCGCAAACTTACCGAGGCCGAAAATGCCTGTGACGTCAATTCGAAGATCTCCGATAACACGGTTGAAAAACAATTCAACTCAATGACCATTTTACAAACGCTAATAACTACAAAACGGTTAGAGATATGAAAAAAATAATAACAGATTCGTTTTCAGGAGGTCTGATTACATCGTGTTCTGAAATAAAATTTTTTGGCTGGAGTGGCCCTTTAAGAGCTGATTATCTGTGAACAGATCTTTTCACGCATCGATAGCTGTTTTTGTGACTGATAATGCACAAAACAATTACATTAGGGGAAAACAAATTTTGACAATAAATTTTCTCCTTATAGACTGGGAATTTTCATCAACAGTCGAGTGAAGTGCATAACCTTAGTTTTTGCTCTTGATTTGGGTACTTTCAGCCTTGCTGAATAATTGGATACATTTTTGTAACACAATAGAAATCACGTCATTTTGCCCAGTCATCTTTTTTGGCAATGTGATAGAAGCAAAAAGTTCTAAAAGAATAAACTCTGCAGGTAACGAGTTATTGCTATCTAGAGTTTCCATGACTTCATCAAAATGGTGGTTCTGCAGTTTTGAAGCACCTGGAATTCAAAGGCTGATTGTCGTAATTTCGGTTGTTTTACCTCGATTTTGAAGTTTTCCATCTTTGTGTTATTGTCATTTGAGCTGATATATTTGCCTGCCTGGAAAACTAAGTATTGAAGGAAAATTCAAGCAAAAGGAAAATGTTCTAATAGTAGTTTGTCTGAAAAAAAACTATACCGAGCTTTCGTCAGCAATGAAAGACCGTCGATTCGTCAGCAGGGCCTAAAATAAAAAATTCTTACAGATCCACATTCTTTATAAAAATTGGGCGTGGTACTTTGCTGGGATTGGCATCATGGGGGTAGCAAATATAGAAACTGCAAACATAGTGCAAATAACATGTCCTAATTCAGCAAATTCTTAAATGAATGAAGTATAAGTAGCAAAAGCTGATTCTTTACAATATATGGATTAAGTTGATAAGAAAAATTCGCTACACATAGCGATGTCTCAATATGTGAGAAAAAGGTTATCGAAAGAAAACTCTTTTATACGGTTTGTTCGGATCTCTGTCAAAGTTATTATTGTTCCTTTCACCTTAAAAAACTCGTTTAAATCAGCCTTGCTTCCCAGACTTGCTTCCAGAAGTCGAAACTTTGCTGCTTTCCCCACCTGCTTCTATCTTGTTGTAGATGGGAATCAGCCTCTCTACATCGATAGAATTAGGGATTGCTGCGAGAATCCGAGCCATTGTCTCGTCTTGTAGAATTCCTCTGAGAACAAGTCTCAGATCTCTGCGATCTTAGTCGTTTATTTCTCAGAATCTGGTGCATGATTGAATGAAATATTTTGTCTGGGACGTCTCTTTTACTTATAGAAAGTTCTTAACTGCATTCAGCCCATCAAATTCTTTTCCATCAATTTGTTTTTCAAAAAGTTTTGTTACTATAAACGAGAGCCTCGTTGCATATGGCAAATGAACTCTTCTCTCACTGATGTACAAATTGTGCTTGTTTCTTCTTATTCTCTTTGCGCCCAGTTTGAAAGCATGGTCTTTTTCCTCATCTTGTTTGTAACGCAGACACCACGTACCAGCACCAGATCTCAATTTTGGAATTACGCCAAATTTATCATCAGATTGTGCTAGATTTGCAAAAATTATGCTAGATTTCAAATCAAGGCAACCCTGCTCGAAAAAGAGGCTAATGCATGCTCAGAATATCAAAAGTGGCCAGAGTTGCATTTTGGCCT